TATTGGTTAAAGAAGACGATTCATTAATTTAAAGTTAGGGAGTCTAATTTTATATTATAAGTTCATTTGTATGATGAATATTGGGCTTGATTGTGTGCAATTTGATGTTGATTCGATTTCTCACGTTGATAACTAATGTGTATTTGACATATGTAGCATATTTTCTACTAGACTTGCGCTTATACCACTCAAAACATTATTTCTCTTGTTCTTTCATTCTTTTGTTAGATAATTGCTTTGTTTGAACTAGTAGAAATGTTGAAAACGAAGACACTAATGATTGACATCTCCCAATTTTTTGTAGTGCAGAAGCACTTGATAATCACTTAACAGCTGTTCAGCGGGACCGTGAACTCAGATCTCAAATAGAAGAAAGGAAAATAAGAAATGATGCTGCGTATGAAGAAGCCAAGAGAAAGGTTGCTTTGCAAGAGGAAAAGCAGCAGCAGGAAAAAGCTAAAGCTGAAGCAGAGGTGCCATACCCTTATATTTTAGTTTGATACTGTTATTTGGAGAGAAAAAAATTATACCTGTCTTCAATTTTCATTTCTAGTTATCTTCTGTTCACAACTACAAAGTGAAGTATTGTGTTACTTTTATTATTTTAAAACTATGCTTGGAGAGTCCTAAACTGCTACACATACATTTATAGTTGCCTTGATTTGGTCTATTCACTTTACCAGCTACTAGCCTAAAACTTGTTAGCAGGTCGTTAATATTCACATGTCCACCATTATATGGGTCTTGTTAATGTGATCAAGCATACACTTTTGCTACCAATCTTCTTGATATAGGTTTAAGCCCAAATGGCCATTCATTCATGATATTTAAATTTTGTGGGTGCAGGCCAAACTTAAAGCTGAGGAAGTAAAACAAGCTGCATTGGAAGCTGAGAGAAAAGCAGCAACGGAAGCCAAAACAAAGGCTGCAATGGAAGCTGAAAAAAGAGCAGCAGCAGAAGCTGAAAGAAGGGCAGAAAAGGATTCAGTAGAAAAGTCCAAAATGGTTGCTTCTGGAGTGACCCAAAATACCACATCAAGCCTATTAAATACTGAGGCCAAGGAATCCGGTATGGGTTTTTCCCCACTTTTTCATAACAATAATTTCTATTCTCCCACCATTAAATCCTTCTCCGCATGCATGTCTAGACCTATACATCATTTTTGTTGCCATTGTTTATGATCTGAGATTTAACAGGCCTATACAATCTTTAGGTTATGTATATCGAGCTGCAACAAGTGCTTTAAATATAGAGCACGGTAGGGTACAGAAACTGAAAGAGCTGTGTGACAGAAACCAAGCTGTAAGATCAAGTTCTAACCAGGTATTGGCCACCCATTATGTCTTAAGGTTCTTAATTTATGATCTTGCATGCAATTAGAAATACCAATTATTTGTTGGTTTTGCTTGTCATATTTGTTATCTTATTTTTAAATTTAAATTCTGTTCTCGGTAATGCATATTTATTTCACAAGAAATTTGGCTGTCCTTCACCTCACTCTAAAGACTAACTTCTTCTGTCAAATTCTGATTTTCACGCTGGGACTTGTTTTTGTCAACATCTGTTCAGGACTATACCAGATACGAGAGTCATATTTCCCGGAATATAAGGCAAATAAGGGGCATAAGAGACAATGTTAGGTGAAGTAAATATTTAAATTTCACAAATGCGTAATGTTGCTGTCAATATATTATTCTTATTTGTACTTTTTAATTTTTTTAAGGGAAAAATTGTATTTCCTAGGCAATCTCAATCCTTAAACAAAATACTAACAAAAGTGTTACATGCCTATATACTCTTTTGGTCATTCTGCAGATCAAAAGCAAGTGAAATCATTAAAATTTTCAATGACCGTCAATGCCCTCAAACATTCAGTATTGAGATATTTGTTAAAAAGGCAAGTTAATATTTTTTCCGATTCCTTTGACATATAATAATATCTCTCGGCTTTATTTGAAAAGAAACATGGAAAATTAAACTAATCTTAAAACTTGGCTTAGTTATTTCTGGTAGATGTTATTTTTGGATCAGTTAACTGTATATGGAAGGTAGCAAATAAATTTTGACCGATATAAGTTTATCTATTTGGGTGCCTTCAATTCTTTGGGATGGTTTGTGACAGGGTAGGTGCCTCTTGTGACCAACAGGTCTAGAGTTTGATCCTTAACGCCCAATTTTTCTGATAAAAAAAGTTGATTTTAGCAAGAATAGGTGGGACTATGCATTGTCCATCCACTTTCAAAGTCCAAAGGACTCTGCTCGAGATGACGTTAGACATTTTATAAAAGCCATTCGTGTATCTTCACCTAAAAGTTTAAATTTATGGAACGTTTGGTTAATGACATTACTCGACAATTAAAATATCAAAGCTATAAATTATGATTAGTCTATAATTTAAGACTCTTTGTTTTATTAATTGAATTTGAAAATGATAATGAAATGTTTTACCATTAAATGAATATTTTTTAAGTGAGAAATTTGACATCAGAAAAACATGATATCAAATGAAATAGCATGTGGCTTCAATGAAATGAATATATTTCCGATCAAATAAGATGGCTGAAATACAAAGAAACAAGGCAGGAGTTGGATTAAAAGTTTGACACTCAATATAAACGCCAAATGTAAGACTGCATTGTTTTGTCCTGCTCCCTTTATCTTTTCTTTTCAAGGCAACTTGATTCCTTAATTCTACAACATATTTATTAATCAGGCCCACAGAATGTGAGCTCTGATACCAACTTGAAATTGGAGCAAAGATTAATTTGAATTGCTTGGGAGGTTAACCCTCAATCTTTTTATTTATACTAAATAGTAGGTACAACCCAGCCCCTTGATTTTGGGACTAGACCATAATTAAATCAGATCTAAATCTATCCTATTTACAACAGAATATTCACATGATATCATATTATGATGTTAAATATCTAACAGTTTGAAATGTTCCAAATGATGAATGAAAACTAGCAAGAAGTGGTAGAGTTATGTTATGTTTATAAATGTAGTTGTGATTATTGACAGGTTGTTTCGTCTTGTTCAAGCCCTGCTAGTGCTCCTTTTGCAATTGCCTATGTCATTGTTCTCATTACATCTCAGGTACACCCTGTTTAATCTCTAGTCTCTCGGCTTATTTAGGACTTAGGAGGATGGCTATGATTAAGATTTCAAGGAAGCATAGAATGAATATGAATGCTTGTTTGATTGATTTTTCGATGACTATTTATTTGCTTTTGGCTTCTATTGTTTTTCACTTGCAAGGCAGGTCCCATATGTAATGGATATTTTTCTTGCTGAGCTTCATAAGGCCTGTCACTACACAGTCCCAAAGCACATGGTTTACAAAAAGGTAACTTAATAGAATTTTAAAATACTATTGAGCAATATATTTTCTTGCATAGCTTCCTAGCCTCGTGTTAAGGAGTAATTTGTTTTTTAGGAGCCAGTGATTTGAAGCAGGGAAAAGTTATTTTGCTACAATTTGTTTTTATGTCACATTTTTTTTAAATAAAAGGTTTCAGTCCATTTTATCTAGCTCAAAGAAGCAATATGGCCGTGCTTCAACTGGTACAATGTAAAAATTAGCTGTAACAAATTATTTTGATATTATGCCCACGTACTTGTTCTGCAAATATCATTCCACAAGCGAGGGGGTATTGATGATGTTGAATTTGGATAATTTATTCTACTGCCTCAGACCATGTTTCAATCAAAAGAGGCATACTTCAGAAGTATTGGTTATCGAGAAGAAGATGAAAAATTGGAGAGTACAGAAGATTATTTAAAGCGCTTAGAATCATATATGAAGGTGTACGGTGCACTGGTTCAGGTCTGTCTAGATAGTCTCAAGATTTTGACAAATTTACATGGACAATATTTGCAATTATTATTGATAACATTTTCTCATCTCCCTGATTGACCTGCTGACCATGTTGGTTTTGACAGACTGAAATTCCGAACATTCAAAATTTGCACGGCTTGCAAGAAGGTTGGGCGTGGCTTGCAAGGTTCTTGAATTCTCTGCCAGCCAATCCATATACAGCTGTCTCACTCAATGCATTCTTGCAAGTAAGTAATGCAAAATGTTCGGTGTTTTGATATATGAATCTTCTAAGATTAACTAATTTTACTCTGTCCGCAGGTGGCTGGATATGCTCTATTTAGAAGATATAAGTCTCAGTTCTTAAAGATGTTGAACATCGTCTCAAACAACTTTTTAGTTGATCTGAAATCACGTAATATACCTGAATCAACGAAGATTGTTGCAAATATACAGGCTTATATAGAAGATAAAATGTTCCTTCAAGTGCCAGAAGGAAAGAACCTGCAGTCAAGTACGTTATCAAGTGCGAAAGAACCATAGGCCCAGTAAACACAGAGTTGCTGATTTTGCTGAAGGAAGCAGGATGGTAGATTTTTCTCATAGGATTTTTTATAGAAGCTCCTTATTTCAGTTGCTGCGTTATCACCCACTCAGCGGGTTTGTAATTTTGTCAAATTTCTGTTATTTTCCCACTAATGTATGAGTATTGAGGAGTTGAAATTATAAACTAATGAAAGTAATGGAAAGATCGAGGGTATCATAGATTAGAAAATTTCTATTTCCCTGTTATTCAGTTAAGGTCGTTGCATTTTACTTGGGCAGAATAAAGTTTGAGATCCAGAGTCTGTTTTAGTTCTGTCAAATATTTTCACAAACCTGAGCAAAGGCAAATTTAAAATATACCACAAGTATAAAATGTGTAGCAACCCAGACAGTTTTTACAGAGACGGTTAACTGAAAATTGAAAAACACAATGCCTCCAATGCACACAAGAGGACAGGGCACATATATACAACATGGTAAAGCTCATTATTTTAGTCTTATATAAACAAAATGTCTTCCTTGCTCTTGCTCTGATGTTCTAACTTCATCAAACTTTGATGACTAACCTTATCAAACTTTGATGACTAACCTTATTCCGCTAATGAATAAAAATTTCATTGAAAGCAGCATATATTTCTAGTAAAGCTTTATCTTAGTAGTGATTGTGCTCCTGCAAATTGGACAGAATTCGAGGTCTTCTCCACATCCACAACAAGTCTGCCATGTGAGGAAATACAATGAAGGGAAATAACTTAATATATATTCACCCATTAAGATAGATAACTTAATGTAGCAGCATGTAGTTAAACTGGTTACCTGATGTCCACAACCGAAGGCCATATCCTTTGGATCGGTAAGACAAATCGGGCAAACCTGCAGTCAACCACGTTATAGGTAACTCACTATTACTATTGAAAGCGAGACAGAAATGAAAGTTGCTTCTCTTTTTGTAAAGCATAGTCTCCATACCTTATTATCATGTAAAGAGCTTGTAGATGGTTCTGTGCGATTGTGAACACCGCTATCATATTCATAGCCTGTACCTCTATGCACATTCGGCTGAAAACTGTTTGACCGAAAAGATTTTCCACTGATGTTGGAGGAAGTCCTATTATAAAGAGGAGCGGGTAGAGGAACCCTATCCGGTGAATGTCCCCTCCGTGAACTAGTCATATCAATGAAGCCGTGAGATTTTCAAATTCAGTTATAAGTTATTACACCATATAAACTGAACTTTACAAATTTGAAGTACTGTATTTTAGTATTTTATTACCCAAGTAAGCCAAGCTCTATGGTTGCCTTATATTGAGAAGGTATCTCCATCAAAGCTGCAAGAGAAAACTCTGCCTCTCTTCGGGATGGATTTACACTTTTCGCCATTATCTTAGTAAAATTCACAAACTACCACAAACAAAAATTAAAACATTTTAGCATAAAAGGAAGATTTATCATTTATATATGGCAAGTAAAAAGGATAAGATAGTTACACCAAACCTGAAAATTGTCAAATGCTCGAGAAGGAATGTTATCGTCAAATTCCTCCATCATCTCCCATGGTCCATCTCCAACGCCTACCAAAACTATTGACAGTGGATACTCACTGCAATTTAAAAAGAGTGTAAGAATGTAGAACGGAACTCATGTGAAAGAAAAATAAAAATTTACCTGGCTTTTACGATTGCGTTTATTGTCTTCTGTTCCTGTTGACTTAGGTGGCCATGTTCTGTATCGATGCTTCTGGTCACCTAGGCAACATATGCTGAGCATCAGTTTTTGAAGCAGAAACAATGAATATCCATAACAGACTAATATCATTCATCACAGTATTGCAGAATTGTAGGCATTTAGATTTCTATTGCAAATACAACATTGCGGTTTCTTCATTTGTATATGAAAGTTAAGCGGATTGAAAAAGAAACAAAGTACTTAAAAGTGTAACTATAAGAAGTACCTGTCCATCTGCAATTATAAGCAGGACATGATATTGGCCAGCACTTTGTTCAACAATAGTTATGGCCATCTCAATAATAGGGGCGAAAGAAGTCGGTCCTGCAAGTTTGAGGTGAGGAACAATTTCTCTGTATCGTGCCAAAACTTCTTCAAACCCGTTACATAACCTCTCTTCTGAATAAAAGCTAAATACATCTTGATCATGTGTAGATGCTGACAAATAATGGACAGAAATGAAAACAGTCATTTCTGCAAGCTGGAAAAAGAAACTACATCGAAAAAGGCAGTAGTTACCGTCTCCAAATCCAAAACATGGAATCAAGTTATCTTCATCAAAAGTAGATAGAGTTTTCCCAATAATAGATATTGCTTGTTCATAAGGGTTTTGGCCAGTTCCAATGTGATGTAAGCTTTTCCGATTGAATGAACTCTTCCCTGAGAAAGTGAAGTATATATTAAGCCTTAAAATTCAAGCATGAAAACGCGTGTAAGAATTAAATATCACCTGTCCACTCATTGCTCTTTGTGAAATCAATGCCAACAATGAGATTAGAAGATTCCAGCCCAGCATTTGCAAGAGCAGCACTAACCTGTGTTCAATTCACTCAATTTTTTTGACAATAGTAATGTGTATTAAATAAGTGCTTAATAATACAACAACAACAACAACAACAAGAAGCTAGTTTTATTCCACTAAATAGAATCAATTATATGGACCAACTTTCGTTGTAATGTTCTATCCAGGACTATGCTTCTATCCAAATCCTTAATCTCGAGATCTTTTTTAATAACTTTTCTTATAATTTTCTAGGTCTTCCTCTTCTTGTAGTTACTTGACTTCTCTTTATCTAATCTACTCTCCTTAGCACAAAATTTACAGGTTCTCTCTCTACATGTCAAAACCATGTAAGTTTATTTTCCACCATCTTCACTACTATAGGTGCTATCCCAACGGTCTAATATTTTCATTCTCAATCCTATTATGTCTAGTCTTACCACACATCCAACGCAACACCTCATCTTTGGTACACTTACTTTATTCTCGTATTGATTATTAACCGCCCAACATTCTATCTCGTACAACATTACAGGTCTTACCGCAGTTTGATAAAAAATTTCCTTCAGCTTGAGCGGTACTTTTGCATCACGAAAAAAATCCTGAAGCCCTCCCCCATTTCAGCCACCCAACTTGATTTCGATGGTTTACCTCCCCTTCTATTTCTCCATCAATTTGTATTATGTATTCAAGATATTGAAACCGTGTGACTTGAGGTATGATATGGTCTCCAACTTTCACCTCTAGATTAAAAACACTTCTTCTGAACTTTCATTTCATATAATTCGTTCTACTTAAGCGAAAACTATGTGTTTCTCATTTTTCAGACATAAAACTCATAAAATTTCCCAATCAGGCAATTAAATTGATTAAATTGGTCCCCTTTCCTTTTATATCAATTTCTTTCTTTTACATGATGCATTCACATGATCACCCTAAAGAGTCTAATTCTTGTTCTAGTCAACGATAAAAACAGTATCTTTCGTCCCATCTTAACCCCACAAAAAAATAGACTAAAGATCAAACAATTTCTTACACATCAAAGTCAAAAAAACACTATTACATGCAATGATATATAATCAAATAATTACCTCATCCAGTGAATGATAATCATCATCAATCCTTGAATACCTCTTATCTAACTTCTTTTTTTGCTGTGAATTATCATAAAATGGAGCTGATGCAAATGAAAACTGATGGTGAGGTGTATGATATGGACTCTGCTGAGGATATGGTGATTGTGGTGGATATCCATCATAGTTATTATTCCATGAAGATGAAGAAGAACCTGAAGATTCATATGAAGGAACATGCCTCCTTCTAGGTGAAGAAGACCCTTTTGAAGTACTCCCTCCCATAAGAATCTATTGCAGAATAAAGACAAGTAAACACAAAATTGCAACCAAAGCTGTCCAAGTTTCTAGCTGAAATTCCAAAACAAAAAGGTAGAAACTATTACTATTTAATCCATAATTGGAGAGGGAAATTTCTAGGTTGTTAGAGTATGAAAGAGAGTGAGACTTATTCATATACCTCAAGATGCATTGCTATTTGCTAGAATTTAAGAATTGCAAATGAAACAAGAGTGCTGCTAGAAGGAACCTAGCAAGGTCAAGTCAACTGGTTCAGCTTCTTCACCTTGTTCAAACAAGTTTCATTTTTTTAAGATTAGTCTATGTCATAATCCATCATTTTTAAATTGTTTTTCTTAACTAACTATCCACCAACAAATCTTTGTTGTGGATTTTTTTATGATATTTTTAAGGAAAAAAATCATCTATGTTCCAACAATGACCTTATACACATTTTTCCTACAGATCCTTCCTAGTAAATACTCACCGTTGACAATGCCACAATAGTAAGAAACTACATAGAATGAGAGCATGTTGGAGAAAAAAAGACAATGATTCATTTTTTTATATGATAAATTGTAAACTCAAAGGATAAGATGATGACTCAGATCCTTAATTGTTTTCATTTTCAGATTTTTCTCTTGTCTTGTTCCTCCAAGTTAGGTTATCAATTTGGTGAATATTTTGTTGGATACAAGAAGGTTTAGCCGAAAGCATTGAGTAACAATGAAAAGGGAAAACGTTAAATTTGCTTTTATGTATATTGGTCACCAAGCGCCACTAGACCAACACAATGTTTCTTAAAATTTTTGAACGATATAAATGAATAACTTTTCAGAAATGATAATGTTGAAAGAATTGAAATATTGTTTCTCCTCATCAATTACGATAATTCTTTATATAAATAGAGATACTATAAAAGATATACAAAAATTATATTTTTTAAGTGTAAATAGTTATATCTAAATAGGGATAGTAATTTGGTCCATCTACAATGAATATCTATAAAAATCTATATATGGTAAAGGGTAAAAATCTGCACAAATAGATACGGATACAAACTCGGATAATTACCCACTTAAATAAATAGATAAGGGTGTGAGTATGAACTCCTTAGTACCCACCCCGCTTCATATCCGTACAATATATATATATATATATATATATATATATATATATATATATATATATATATATATATATATATATATATATATACACTTTAATTTATATTATTATATTAAAAATAAATGTCTATCAATTTTCAAAAATACATCGATGTTAAACCATTACATTTGTAACTAAGTGTTCTTTTATTTAATAATTCAATAATAAGTTTATTAAAAAAATTTAAATGTTCTTAACAACTTAAAATAATATGATATTTTATACTTTATAATAAACGGGTATGAGCTCGAGTACGAGGATTTTTTACAACCACGGGTATGGGGACGAGTACTATAGTACCCCACCCATACCCTGCTCATTGTCATCCTTATATCTAAGTCATTCTTTAATTTTCTAGTGCACGAGAATAAATGAGAATTTTATTTTGTAAAATATTGTTAATCGATATGCTAAATGTGAATTGTGCGATTTATGTTAAGACTTCTAAAGTGTTAGAGATGAAATAAACTTGACATTTGAATTTAGTCAATAAGGGAAATCATGTCCTTACGTGTTTTAGAGATATGAATTAAATAATAAACTAGTTTCAAGAGAAGCCTTGAATATTGGATGAACTTTGTTTATCAAAGCTAAAAATATACAAGTATTCATAGTTGTTACTAATTGTAATGATGTACTCATTAGAAAATAAAAACATTTATAAAGAGAAAGCTCCATCGAGCTTATGAGTTACAGAAAATACTAATTGTTATTTTAATTTCATTAAGATAATTCAATTTATTTTGCTAATATTTGGCATCAAAGTTTGTTACATTAAAATGACTACAAGTTCAGGCACTAATCAAGTTTTGTCAGTGCAAACAATTGTTTTCAAATTCAATGGTAGAACAAATTTCTCTATGTGGAAACGTTTGATGGAGTTGTGTTTAGCAATCAACGAGTATGGAGAAATTATGAAGAAAGGTTTTATTGAACCAACTGAAAAAGATAAAGAAAATGTTGATGAGAAACAAGTTGAGTAAGATCGTCAACTCAACGAAAAAGCCTTGTTTTTTATATGTCAATATGTGGAGCTATCTGTTGTTGAGAAAATTTTCCATGCCAAAACAACTAAGGAAGAAGCTTGGGAAATATCACTTAAAATATATGAAGGTGAGCAAAGTTGTAAAGATTAAAATGTCAGTTTGAGCTAATGGAGAAAGGAAGAGATGAAAGCATTCGTGAATATTTTTCACGAATGGACAAAATAGTTAACGAAATGAAATCCAACGGTGAAGACATAAAGAAGAAAGATGTTATGGAGAAAATTATGCACACTCTTTCAACTCGTTTTGATTACGTGGTAGCATCAATCTAAGAAGGAAAATATGTCACCACAATGACTATAAATGATTTACAAATATCTTTGGAGTCACGCGAGATGCAGATGAATGAGATATCAAGTGGCACATTTGAGCAAGCTTTAAAATCTCAAACAATTATGAGAAATGAAGGACATGTGCAAAGAAGGCCAAACCACTTCCAAAAAGGAAATAGTTCCAAAGGTAGCAAGAGGAATTCTCAAACTGACTTAAGCCAAAGCTCATGAGGTAGTGACTTTTTTAAAACTAAATCTAATATTTAATGTCACAAATTTCAAAATTACTAACATTTTCAATCTGAATGCAAAAATCATATTCAATGTATTAATTGTAAAAAAGTATGGTCAGTATGGTCGAGAATGTCGTTCCAAATCATTTGATATAAGAGATAGTCATGTTTGAGTTGCAGAAGTTAAAGATGATATGAAAATGGTGCTTACAATATGTCATGTTGTAGCCGATAAACATGATGACCAATGGTTGATATACACTAGTTGTAGTAACCATCTAAGTGGGAATAAGGAAATATTTTCCAACTTAGATGAAAGTTTCCATATCATAGTCAAGCTCGGTGATAATTTAAAACTTCATGTTTTGGGAAAAGGAAAGATCGCCATCAGATTGAAGGATGGATCTTTGAATTATATTTCTGATGTATTCTATGTACCTAGTATATGTCAGAATCTCTTAAGTGTTGGACAATTTGTTGAGAAATACCACGATTTAAACTTCAACAAAACACGTTGCACTATCAATGATGCTGAGATGGGTCTCATAGCAAAGACAAGCATGTCAAGAAATCGTCTATTTCCAATGAACATCAAGTATGATGCTAATATGTGTTGTAAAGCTGTAACTATTGATCACAATTGGCTTTGGCACATGCGTCTTGAACACTTCAACTTTGAAAGCATAATTTTTTTTGCAAATAAGAAATGTGTTACTGGCTTGCCTGTTATCTAAGTTCTTGATCAACTGTGTGAAGCTTGTGTAGTAGGAAAGAAGCATCGAGATCCTTTTCCTAAAGGGATGGCACGGAGAGCTACAAAACCACTTGAGCTTGTGCACTCTAATTTATGCTATGTGGAAGTACCATCTAACGGAGGTGATAAATATTTTATTACTTTAATTGATGAATTTAGTAGGAAGACGTGGGTTTATATTTTGAAAAATAAAGCATATGCTTGTGACACACTTAAAATATTTATGGCGTATGTTGAAAGATGAAGTGGTTATACTTTGAAAATCTTAAGAACTAACAGGAGAACATAGTATATTGTCTATGATGATTTCTTGAGAAAGAAATGAGTTAAGCATCAAATGACTGCAAGATACACTCCTCAATAAAATGGAGTTGCAGAAAGAAAGAATAGAACAATCATGGATAATGTGAGAAGCATGTTACATTGCAAGAATTTACCCAAGAGTTTTTGGGCCGTAGAAATAACTTGTGTAATATACCTATTAAATAAGTGTCATGTGAAAAGTGTACGTGATAAAACTTCACAAGAAGCTTGGAATGGACAAAATCCAAGTTTGAGTAACTTGAAATTTTTTTGGTTGTATTTCTTATGCACATGTTCCAGATCAATTGAGGAAGAAGCTTAATGACAAGGCAGAAAAATGCATCTTTACAGGGTATAATGAAGAAACAAAAGCCTACAAATTGTATAATCTAGAAACTCAAAAGGCAGTCATTAGCATGGATGTTACCTTTAATGAAGATGAATCTCGGGGTTGGTCAAAAAAGGAAAAAGAGTTATTGCATGTACCAGTTACTATAAATGAAGAAGTAGATGACAAAGTTAATGAACCATACACTAAACTAACACAAGACTCACCGCCTCATAGATATCCATAAATGGAACATCATTCACCTCCTCACTTGAAAGATTATGAAGTTGGTTAAGATGATGATCATGATGATACAGAGGGAGAAATTACATATAATGCCTTATTTTTTGATTGCGATCCTGTGAGATATGAGGAAGCAACCAATAAATATTGTTGGATGAAAGAAATGGATGAAGAAATTCATGCAATTGAGAAAAATAATACATGGGAGTTAACTACACTTCTAGAAGGAAAGAAGCCAATTGAAGTCAAGTAGGTGTACAAAGAAAATTACAATCCAAAAGGAGAAGTAGACCACTTCAAAGCACGACTAGTAGAAAAGGGTACAAACAAAACCCGACATTGATTATTTTAAAGTTTTTGCTCCAGTTTCTAGAATGGACACGGTATGTATGATCCTTTCCATTGCTACCCAGAATCAATGAAAGATTTTTCAGATGAATGTCAAGGTGGTTTGACCAAGAAGTCAACATTTGAAGTTCAAGTTCAAAATGTCATAACTCCTTCATTTTTCAACATTTTCTAGTGATCCTTTGGGCATATGACTATCCTTGACATCATCTACAACTTATATTTTCAAGTCAATAGCTAATTATGTTTGGAAGATCATCAAAAGTTTGGAAAAGTTATAGGTCACTTTGTGGACTTAGTGAAATTTGACCT